CACCAGTTCAGTACAGCCACTGCCTCACCTGGATTAGTTGAAAATGAGAGGTAGAACTGGGTATCATCAGCGTACTGATGATTCCGCAGCCCACACCTTCTAATGACCTCTCCCAGTGGTTTCATGTAGATGTTAAATAGCAAGGGGGACAAAATGGACCCTTGCGGAACTCCATGGCATAACTGCCATGGCACAGAGCCATAGTCCCCCAGCACCACCTTCTGGAATCGGCCATTGAGATAGGAGTGGAACCACTGCAAAGCAGTGCCTCCGACCCCCAATCCCGCTAGCCTATCCAGAAGGATACCATGGTCGATGGTATCGAAAGCCGCTGAGAAGTCCAGGAGAACCAACAGGGATGCACTCCCCCTGTCTCTCTCCCTGCACAGGTCATCATACAGGGCAACCAAGGCAGATTCAGTACCATACCTGGGTCTGAAGCTGGACTGAAATGGGTCCAGCTAATCAGTTTCATCCAAGAGTGCTTGGAGTTGTCCCACCACCACCCACTCTAACACCTTGCCCAGGAACGGGATGTTGGCCACAGGCCTATAATTGGTGGCCATCTCTGGATCCAGGGAAGCCTTCTTTAGGACTGGCCGGACTACCGCCTCCTTTAAAGGGGCAGGTACCCGGCCGTCCCTTAGAGAGGCGTTGACAACCTCCAGGATCCAGGTCCCTATCCCGTCCTTGGCTTTCTTAAGTAACCAAGATGGGCAAGGGTCCAGTAAGCAGGTGGTAGGACGTACTTGTCCAAGTACCTTGTCCACATTATCAGGCCTCAACAAGTGAAACTCATCCATCAATTTTGGACCAGTTCATATCAGAATTGTAGAAGCATAGAATAGTAGGGTCGGAAGGGGCTGAGAAGGCCATTGAGTCCAATCCCTACTGATGCAGGATGCCAATTATACCATCCCACTCAGATAACTGTCTATTTTCTTCTTGAATGCCTGTAGCGTGGAAGAGCATTCTTGGCAGCTGGTTCCACTGTTGTACGGCTCTCACAGTCAGGAAACTCATCCTTGTGTTTAGCCTGCACCCGGAGTACTGTAGTTTAAGTTCATTGTTCCATGTTCTACAATCTGGGATGAGTGAGAATAGATCTTTTCCTTCTTTGTGACAACCTTTGAGGTCCTCGTAGAGTGCTATGATGTCACCTCATAGTCTTCTTTTCTCAAGGCCAAACAGGTCCAGGTCTTTCAGCCTCTCATCGTAAGACTTATTTTCCAGGCCCTGATTCATTTTGTTGCCCTCCTCTGAACCCACTCCAGATTATCAGCATCCTTTTTAAAGCTGGGTTCCTGAAATTGAGCAGTGTATTCCAGGTGAGATCTGCCTGTCTGCCTGGCCAGAGAGACCCTCACCACATAGACCATTGAGATGCAGCCCCAGGTCAGTGGTTGGCAGGGACTGACCTGGTGGGGGAGTGAGGGAAGAGCAGCAGAGAGCAAGGGAAGATTAACTGAGCAGCAGCATGCCAGTTATGGCCAATTGAGGGTGGCTACTCCAAAATGGCCCCTTCCATCACACGGACCTATTTCCCCAGAGACCTTCTGCTCTGGGTGGTGGCCCCAGGCAGCAGTCAAAGGTCTGTAGCCAAAGGGCTCTGCCCATTGATGCCTTTTTGATGCCTGGTTGGGCCTGAGAAAGTGACCTTTGCCTGTTGGGTGGTTTGTAGTTGTATGATGATAATGAATTGTCTAACTTTAATTCTTTGTATTGCAGATTGCTTGAAAAAATTTATAAATTCTGTAATTTATATGTTTATTGCCTCATGCAGCTATTCTGATTTTGTCTTGTTTTGAACTCTTGTACCTTGCTTTACATTGTATTTTATGGTATCCTGTATATTGCATTAAGGTATTTTGTAAACCACCCTGCAGTTGCAGACCAAATTCACAGTCTGTCCAAAAGGATCTGGACAGACTCTAGAAGTGGGCAGGGGACAACAGAATGACATTCAATGAGGAAAAGTGCGTGGTCTTCCTCTTAGGACTTAGGAATAGGTGCTATATGTACAGGATGGGGGAGAAGTGGCTGGAGAGCAGCACTTGTGAAGGGGATTTTGGGGTACTTGTCAATAGCAGGTTAAACAAGTGCCACAAGTATAATGTGGTGCTTAAGGTGAATGCCACCCTTGGATGTTTAGCCAGAAGGAATGGCTTTGAGACTGAGAGAGGAGTTAGTACTTCTCTATAAGACTCTGATGTGCCCACAACTGGAGTACAGTGTCCAATTCTGGACTGCACATTGTAAGAGAGACATAGTTGGGTTAGAATCAGTTCTGCGCAGGGTCACAAGGATGATAGCTGGATTCATGGGGGATGACATATGAGACATATTGAGGGAACTGGGACTTTTAGGCCTGAAGAAGAGGAGATTCAGAGTGGATCTTGTAACAATGTACAGGGAAGTGAAGGGGTGTCACACAGTATAGGGTCATGGCCTGTTCTCACCTGCAGTGCAGGAAAGAATGTAGTACAACGGGGCAGAACTCAAGCATCCAGGTTTCAGGCAGGATGTCAGGAAGTATTTTCTGACAGTTAGGATCTCTAGGATATGGAATGGGCTTCCATGGGAGGTGGGGGGGGGGTCATCAGTGAGGCTGTTCAAGCAAAGATTGGACAACTACATGTTGGGTATTACATGAGCAGAGCCAGCTGGAGTCAGGGGTCAGGCTAGATGGCCCAGTAGGCCCCTTCTGACTTGCTTTGTTTCTGTGTTTCTAAAAAGGAAAAATTCTCATGAGTCATGTCTGTATATACATGGAATAAATAAATCAATAATGCCTAGCCACAAGATACACCATCAGTACAGAATTTAGTTTGATCTATTAATTAATTAATAATTAATTAATAATGCTGCTATTATGCTTATATATGAAAGTTCTTAAAGGTTTGCTTCCAAACCAGTCATGATATCAGTGACTACTTTTGTAAAAGAACCTTCTTTCTGTCAATGATCCAAGAAAACTCTGTTCTTCTAAAACAAAGCAGGCATATGGAAGACACTCTTCAGTAAATGTAATCTGTGACAGGTGATTAGAAATAGGATTGTATTGAATTGTACTGTTAAGTAGCATTCATGAAGTCCAACTTATATGCTTCCTTTGCTTTATAATGCCTTAATTTGTATTGCCACTTAGAACTATAAATTTTAATTTTACCTACTCATCAGTTCTGAACACTGCATTCTGTTCATTCTGCATTATAAGAAACAACTACTGATCCATTAGATTTTCTGATTTAGCAGCATGAGACCTCTTCCTACTATCTGATTTGTCTGTTTAAGATGGCATGCTCTTCTTAATAATATATGATTGATGGAAGATATTTAGGAACAAAGCACTGCCATTATCTAGCTGGCTGACTGCATATACACCCATCGTGTAGAACTGCTGCCTGAACAGGGAAAGGAAGTGAACAGGTTCCAGAGTCTGGGGAAATAAACAGTTTGCCTTTCATTTGCCAGATGGTTGTGATCCAGTCCTAATGCAATCACAAGAAATGTCCCAGCAGAGTTATAGTGTGCATTCTGGCATCCTGTCTAATGTCCATTGTGTAATGTCCTTGCTACCTTCCAGATACAGCTGGCATAGAACTTAATGGACTTCAGAGTTTTTGATCTCACAATTAACAACATGGCAAACATCCATGGCAAGAACACTTGCAGAGACAAAGAGAAAGAATTGCAAGGCATATTGACATCAGAGAAGCCTGATACAAATATACTGGGGGTAGCTTTCCAAATCTCAGCACGAGTAACGATCAGTAGCACAACTAGCCTAGGCATTTGGGATTATCTTTCCCATACTGTTGGGGTACTGAGGCCCCCTACCTCTTAACTCCCCACTCATTCTTTCTCTCTCCTAGTATCCCACTAACCCCAAACTACACATGCTATAAAATCTACCCTGAACTTTTCAGGTCTTAGAGTATGGTACCAAGGGTTAAACATCCATTACATTTTATCAAAGCTCTGGGATTAGCTTTGTTTAACCTATTTTTCACAACAGAGCCATGTAGCAACAGTAAGAACAACAAATTTTCCTCAATCATAAGTCTCAAACATACTGCTTTTACATTTACACCTGTTGAGCTGGTAACTTGATAATTTTAAATTTGATATCAAGATGTACTTGAAAAGAAACACAATTATGTCAAATTTCAAACGGGCCCAATAAATATGACCAAAGGTACAGTGAGTTAAAATCTACCCTTTCTACTCCAAGGCATATTTCTTCCAAAGTTTGATGAAAACTGCTAATGTATTTTACTCAGGCTTCCTGAGAAGAAGAAGCCTTCTCTGGTTTGGTGAAGTTCTAAGTAGCAGTTCAAAGTCTACCTGCCATAAAGCCTACAGTGGCACAACTTGTGACATCATGTAACATTATTCTGTTACACTACATCATTAAGATCATTAAAGTATTCATCTTCTCCTCCAGTTTCCTGGGTTTGTACAGCTACTTCAACATGTAACATCTTCAAGACTGATCCTAACTGAATGCTTATAAGTCTTATCTGAGAACTGAATGCTTATAAAAAGCTCAGTGGAGGTTAGTGTTTCCAATGTCAGCAGGGCTGTGTATCTGCTCTGGATTTTACTCTGAACTTCTAAGGACCCATCTATGTTGCTGAACCTAGCTGGGGGGAAATCTTGCATTTTCTAAAAGTCTGCAGGCTGGTATTCTGGTATTGTTAGGGTAAAAAATTCTTTTAAAGTTCAGAGTATGGAGCAGCTATATAGGCCCAAACACAGTGGTACTACCAGACCACACAGAGTGTCTGAAAAATGTTATGCATTTGCTACTATAACATAACTGCCATAAGAATGCCTGTATTTATCTCTGGTACAATAAAACTTGGTCCTTTGTTCCATTTCTTAGTTCAATGAACGTGATGCTGAAGAATTCTGTTAGAAGTGGCATATTATGGAATATTACATGTCGATTAAAATTCTGTTTCAATAGTTATCTTTCTCCTGCCTCTCTCCCTCAGCTATCCATTTCCCATGATGTTCAGCAGTTGCAGCAAGAAAGACTTGGAATACAGCTTGGAAAAAGGAGTGGGGATGTGTCTATTCAACCTCCCAGAAGTAAAGGAATCATTTGGTGGGCCAAAGTGTGGGAATGGCTATGTAGAAGAAGGAGAGGAGTGTGATTGCGGTGAACCTGAGGTAGGCCTATCATCACTGCTTCACAACAGCAGTGGGCAAACAGTGGTTATCTGGGTGTTTTGGCTACAGCCCCAGGAGCCCTTGCAGCACAGCCCATGTTGAGAGATGATGGAAGCTGTAAGCCAAAGCATCTGGAAGAGTAACCAGATACCCACCCTTGCTTGAAAAGGAGACTGAAAGTTCTGTTTGGAACATCTGACTATATTTTAACCAACGTTCTACTATTCCTTGATCTCAGCATTTCTTTCATGCTTGTCTAAATATAAACAAGTCATCTGGCATTTTCTAAAAGTCTACAAGCTGCTGTTGTGATGCTGTTAGGGAGAGAATTCCTTAACATTGGTGCCACAGCCAAGAAGACCCTGTTGTCTCTTCCTAACAATGTAATTTCACAAAGAGAAGTGATTTCCTTGAAAAGCTTAAAGAACAGGAGTGGGGGCTCTTGCAGAAAAACATGTTCACTGAGATACGCCATCCTGCAGTTACAGACTTCTAAAGGGAGAGCACTTAGGCAAATATTCCCTTTGATTTTTTTATGGTTGCCCAAGACTGGTTTTTCTCCACAAAAGTCACTGTCCTGTGCTTTTATTATGGTTAATGTAGATCTGCTAGTATAAGAGATCTTATACTATAAGCTGTGGGGTGACATAGAAATAAAGAAATAGCCCCTGATAAGACATCTTTCCCTCATTTAAACCCTTTCTTCATGAGGCTTTTATTGTGCACTTATGATTCCTCTCTCATGGTTCTTTGTGGGTGCTTGACACAATGTCATCATCCTCCAAGTCACTCCCCATTCTTTCTGGGGCTCTTTTTAGATGAAGGAAACTGGTATTATCTGTGAATAGTGGCATGAAACTCTTGTATTTGTGCAGTTGTGCTACACTACAGTGTTGCCTCTTGGTCATGCAATGCAATATACAGAAAAGCAGAGAAAGAACCTGCCCTTCCCAAAAAATGAGTTAAGGAGCTAATCTTAACCCCATAAAAAATCCTAATGCAGAAGTCTCGGTAAAGTGGAGTGTTCAAAGCCTTCATGGAACCCTTCTGTACAAGGCATTTATTGTGCATTTGTGATTTCTTACTCTTAATAGTTTGTGGGTGTTTAAAATGATGCCTTCTCTCATTATTTGCAGACATTTCCACAGCTGGTACTATGAATTTCAGCATTAAACCTTCACATTTTTGTGCAATTCCACTATTTAACATTGCCCTCTAGTAGCTGTATAATGGAACATATAGAAAGGCAGAGAAAGAAAAGCCATGGGGAAGAAACATGTAAAGGAGCCAAACTTAATGCTGCAGATAATCTGGAAGTCTTAGCAAAGTTGCAGGTTAAAAGCCTCATATAGAAAAACCCTTAAAACTTAAGATCCACTGCTGATTTTCCACTTTAATAATCAGCAAAAAATATATCATAGGGAAATGGATCTGTCTTCTTTGATAAACAAACCACTGCATGCATAATAAACAAGAAGACACTGATAGCAGGAAAGTACTCTAGTTTTTCCATGCAGTTTACTGAATTGATCTAAGTCATAAGGGTTTCCTGACAGTTCACTCATTCTTCTACGTAGCAGGATTGGAAAAGCAGGCTTATCTGGTTGTTTAAAGTCAATAGAATGTCTGTTGCTTGCAAATACAGTCTGGCCCAGTTATCATTCTCAACTCCTGAATGTTACTGATGTGTTTTAAAGTAAAAACCACTTAATAGTGTCACAAAGCAATTCAAACTTTGGTAGTTTTTTTCCTTTTCTTTGTTAAAAGCCTAGGGAAATTGTGGCTCAGGTCTGATTGATTTTAGCTGAAGTTTTTTAGTGTAATCTGTGTGGTATCAGCAAATCCATTGCATTAGTTACATTGGGGCATAATCCTATGCATGTATAAACAGCAAAAGTCTCACAATCTTACAAGACAGTAGCAGGTCCTTTTCTGTGTAAATAAGGATAGGGTTGCATCCTTAATGAGTAATTTTGATCAGAATCCCCATATCAGTACCACTCTAATCCTTGAAGGCATCATGTGGTTCAGTAGGTAAAGCTAGGTGAAGCTTGCATGGAAAAGCCATTTTTAATCTATTGGAATAAAATAACTTCATTCAAAAATTCTAGCAGACACTTTGAGCTGCCTGTACTCATATGTTAGATTATTTTAAAATCTGTCTGGGAACTTTTGATAAGCCATCCCCCCTCCCCACCCCCACCCCCAAGTTTAGGAGAAAAAAATTATCCTGACTCACCCATGAATTGTTCTAGGGAAAAAGGTTCACTTCTAGACAATAAGATTATGGAACCTGTTGGTGGCTATTGCTCTTGATGTGTCAAAATCACTTAAAAGCAAAGCAGGGAAGAGTGGCTCCATTCATGACCTCCTTGTAAGCTCCTTAGAATGCTCTGACTGTCCATGAGTAGGAGAAGAGGACTGGATTAGATGACTCTTACATTCACTTGTTTCAGCATTTTTTACCTCTGCACATAGAATGTGCAGTAGTGTAATTAAGGGTGATGTCTGAGTTCACGAGCTGTCACCCTTCTGTAATTAATGGATGGAAATTTCAGGAAACAGATTTCAGATAAACTTCAGGAGAAGCTTCCTGACTATGTGAGTTTGTACTGTTAGTTTTCTCCCCCACAAGTTATTTTTCTGGCTATTTCTTCTGAGGTTTAAGATTTATCTGTAAACACACAACTTTTCACCTTTTCCTGAAATTAGCAGTATTATTTTAGTGGCCTCCTTTTCAGGAATGTTCTAATTGGAACACCTTCTTGAAAAAGTCCCAGGAATGCTCATATTTTCTCTTGTGTATATAGGCAAAACAGTTTATTTTATTTTATTTATTTATTGATTTATTTAGGAAGCTTCTATGCCGCCCCATTTGCCGAAGCCTCGGGGGAGGGGGGGGCTCACATCAATAAATAAATAATCACAGTATAAAAACAATATAATTTGAGTCGACCTGGCCAAGGATATAAAATAAATAAGTAATATTAACAATTAAATTAACAGTTAAAATGACATTTAAATAAAAAGGTCTTCTCCTGGCACCGAAAAACGAATAACAATGGTGCCAGGCGGACCTCTCTGGGGAGCGCATTCCATAGATTGGGCGCCACCGCAGAGAAAGCCCTCCTCCGAGTACTTACCCTCCTAATGTCCTTCACAGAGGGTTCCCGGAGAAGGGCCTCTCCCGCTGATCTCAAGGGGCGGGTGGGCATATATGGATGTAAGCGCTCCTTCAGGTAATCAGGACCCAAGCCGTTAAGGGCTTTATAGGTGATAACCAACTCCTTGAATTGGGCCCGGACTTCAATGGGGAGCCAGTTTAGTGCAGACATTTTCTTCCTCTTGTTATTTCAAGTGTCAGTAGTATAATCAGTTAGCTGCATCTTCTTATTTAAAAACTCTTTAGTAGGGATAAACTTGGGAATATCATTATGATCTAGTTACTTTTTCTTATGTTCAAATGTCACTGTTGGCAGTTCATTAAGTCAGAGTTAACTACTGAGTAGCAGTTTTGGTAAGACCTTAGCAGAACTTCTAATTCAGATGCCATGTACCCTTTCCGATTATTACATTCTCAAGTAAATTCAGTATTTTCTGAGACCTCTGATTAGTTCCATCTAAAGACAATAATTTTTTACACCCTTCTGTGCATGGGGAAGCCCTTGATTAAACTGAGCAACATGTCATGAATTTATTTCTTAGCAGCCATAATAGTGATATTTGTGCCAGAATTTTTGTTCATCCCAACAGCATAATATATAGACCATATGTCTATAACAAAGAGAATAAGCAGTTTAAGTCAAGCACTCAGATGTACAAAATTACTGCCGTTCCATTGAAGTAGTTAAATACCAGTGGTAGATTCAACCTACACCCAGTCTTTACATTGACACAAAGCTATTTTAGACAAATACAACTTGCATGAAATTTGGTGATGATTGTTTGTTTCACACTTATTCCCTTTGATGGCAAGAACCAGAGGTGCACATCCTTTTGGTCCCCGAGGGCTGTGTCAAGTATCTCTGGGGGTGGCAAGGCACATACTAAGGGTGAGTGAGGAGTCCACTCTGGGTGTGGGAATCCATTGGATTGCTGGGGCTCAGCTTCCCAGACTCCAGTCCACTTTGATGTGGCCTTGGGTCTGAGTTTCTGGTAAGCACACCCAGCTTACACACAGAGCTTTCCAGGAACTGAGCCCTGTGGAAATCCTGTACAAATAGTGTCCCTCTTTTTTGTGGTGTGCAGCCTTTGATTGTGCTGCAGTACACAACTTGGAAGAAGGTTGTTCACATGGTGCTCCCCAGGAATGGAGCGCTGTGCAAGTGCTGTGCAGGCAGCATCCCTCTCCCACACCACATGCAGCAGCTTTTATTTCTCCTGCTGCATATAATGCAGAAGAAGGTTGCCAGTTGCACAGTCTTCGTTCAGCATGTCGTGAGCAGAGCTGGCTGGAGCCGGGGGTCAGACTAAATGGCCAAGGAGACCCCTTCAGACTCGCTCAGTTTCTGTGTTTCTCGTGGAATGTCCCATGAGCATTCATGGGCCTCCTCTTGGCTCAGCTCACTTTCCAGAATAGGGCCAAGTGTGAAAGAAAGCCTGCAAACTCAGGAACAGATTCTGCAGAGCTTCAATGCAATACATCCATGTACATATATGTAAATACATGTACACACTTGAGCACATTCAGATACAACTCAAACAGTATACAATTCACAGCCATACACCACACACTCACTGAAATCCAACTCCTGTCATGGAGTGTTCCAGAGGCCTGGCAGGTGAAACCAACATACCCAGAAACCTGAGTTCCAAAACTCCTTAGTCAGGAATCCTGGCTCATAGCCATTCTCCTTCCTCTAATCCAGTGGTCCCCAACTTTTTTGGGCTGCCACCCGCTTTTCTCTTGGCTGAGAACTCTAGCACCCCCCATGTCTCTTTCTTTGTTTTAGAGGCACTAGGGTTGTCGTACTTTGGGTGAATTAATCAGTACCCCATTTGCCTGGTCTCCCACTCTCACCAGGGAACGGGGCGGGGTGCACCATGGCTTGTGGGGCTGCTGGGGCTTGTGGGGCTGCAGAGGGGTGAAGCAGTCTCCTTGACAGTCCTTGGCTGCAATGGCAGCATTGACAGCGAAGCTGGTATGGACAGCTTTGGGCATGGGCTGGCTAAAGAGGCCCTGTGAGGAGGAGGACCCTGGCTCAGCATGCCGCAGCTGGGCCACAGCTTGCCTGGATTCTCTCTCTTTCCCCCTCCCTCATCCCCACTCTCACCAGGAGGAGGGCACAGATTTTATTCGATCTGTCCCTGAATCAGATCACATGAGTTAGCCAAACCTTTGTCTTAATATATGCATCTATTTTACCTTTCTATGCATATAGGATGTAAGGTTTTTAAATTCTATTTATTAAGAATTTCAAAAGCAAATTGCATCACTTTTCTACATAGTCACCTTCCTTTGTGATGCATTGTCCTCCGTGTCATACCATTTTTATAATGACATCTGCAAAAAATATATATAAAATACATTTATAAAATATAAAAGTGCGGAAACTTTTTGAAGACCCCCTCATACTTAAGAAACACTTCTATATTCACTAAAACATATTAAACATAATTCAGCATTGTAGTAATTATAATAAAACAGTTCTTAAAACAGTTTAGAACATTCTTGAGGTAAGATTAACATTAACTGATGATGGTGGTGGAGATGGACGTGGTGCTGGTGAGTCAGGGTTTGATTGTGCTGTTGTGGAGCTGGGGGGCGGGTTTACTTTCTTGAAGCAGGCCTCGAGGGTTGTTTGTACAGCCATTTTCTTTTTCTCATCATAAATGGCCTTGTAGCAGCAGAGGGCCTGGTTACAAGGGCAAGTGCTAAATAAAACCAAAGGAGAGCTAGACATCCTACACATGCCCCAAAACACAGTGGCTTGGGTAGACTCAAGCTGATGCTGCAGAATGAATAGCAATAAATATTCTAACTTTAGAAAACTAGGCTGCCACTGATGACACATCTCTAAACATGTCACAGAGTTCCCTAGAGATACATCATGTCGTTCTTCAGAGTGTTTGCCTTGACAATCTTTACTGAATCTCTGTCTCGAACAAAAAGCCATGAATATCTCTAGGAACTACACAGCCACTGTTGACACATCACCAAACAAGTCACATAGTCCCCTAGAAATATTCACGACTTTTTACTAGATTCAGGTTTATGGCTGTCCATGCATTCATAAGTATGGGTTGTTTGTAACTTGGGGACTACCTGTAATTGAATGCCTCCCCCTGGTCCCCCCTGAATCTTTCCAGAACCCTCATTTTGGGAATCACTGCTCTAATCTACACTGCTTCCTAGGGTACGTCAAGGATGCTTTAGGAGTGATGCTTCCAGGGTAGGAAATGTTGAGTCTGTTCCTAAAGCATTTCTCTCTTTTCTGCTTTTTGTATTGCCAAATGCAATTGTAAATCACCTTCTTGTTCTATGGCTAGGTTTTTAATAATAGTTTTGTCAGTAAAGTGCTCATCTTCAGAAAATGCCCTGCACATCTATTTAACCCAGAGATAGGGAAGAAATCATCAGCACTGGAATGTGGCCAAAACCACTTCTAATGGAGGTGGAAGCATTTCCAGAACTGGTTGAGGATTTGGGGTTTCTGAACAATTTTGAATGATCCAGAAATGTAGGGAGGCCTCTTCTGCAAGGAGAAGAGAAGGGATTTCCTGAAGGCATTAGGACACATGAGGGATTTCTATCAATTACCCCATCATGTGATTGCTTCTTTCCAAAAATATAAGTTCAAACACTCCCTGTTTCTGTTACAACTAAGGACTGTTTTCAATTTATTCATTCATTTATATCCCACTTTTTTCCATGAAGGAATTCAAGGAAATGCACATGGGGTTCCTAGTCAGTATCCTAGGGACCGACCTATTTGCTTTCAGCAAGGTGGCTGTATTGACCTAGTTCACACATTCACTGTGGCCTACACAGTGGCCAACAAGTACTTTGTTTAAGCTGTGGTGCATGCCAGGTACCACTTGTCTAATTAGCTAGCTGGACACAGCTTGCTGTGTTATGTGAACCAGGTAGTGTGGCTTGTTTGAGTGGAAAACACCCTGAGAGTGCTTTGCCCCTCAAACAAGCAATATAGCCTGGGTTCAGATAGCACAAGGCACACCTGGGCGGGCAATTAGGGTTATGGGACATGTATAAGCCGCAGTGATTGCATCTCAGATTATCGGATAGGTGGATGCATATGGGCCTAGGGGGTAAGCATTGCCAGGGAGCTCAGCCAGTCCGCCACCCCATCTAACAGTTGCAGTTGCAGGCAGAGCAGTATTTTGTGCAGTAAATTATTCTATATTCTGTTACCCACTATAGAGTTTGGATGGAGCAGAATTAATTTGTTCCACCTTCTGCCAGATCTGAGTGGAGTGGAACAATTTGTTCTGTCTGTTCCTATAAACCAATTACTATTTTCTGCAACCTTTTAGATATTTGAAAAGTAAGTTTTCCATTTGTCTTTTATCAAGACTAAATAGCAGACCCATTCTATGTGACTCACGGACTTGGTTGAAGGGAGACATCATTAAGTGAAACAGATACCAAGAAAATAAAAGTATAGCTGGATAAATAGGTTGTACATAAAAAGGAAGAACATATGTTGGGTTTAGATTGCAAATTTCCTGGGAACATGGACCTATCTTTTAGCATAACAAAACACCTTGTAAGTTATGGTACTATATAAATATAAATAATGAACATACTGAAGATGTGGAATAATACATAAGCAGCACTTCACTTCTAAGGGGCACGTGAAGGTTATACTGGATAACAAACTCAACAGAGTGATATTGTGGTAAGAAGGGCTAATGTGCTTTCAAGTTGCATTAACAGCAGCATCGTTTCCAGGACTCAAGAAACAATAGTATTACCCAGAAAAGCTCTGAGATTAGATCTCATTTAAGTACTATGCCACTTCTAATCAGTACAAGATAAATTGGAAACAATTCAGAGGAGAGTTAAAATGATAAAGTTCTAGAAAAAAAATCACACAAAGACCTAGTTGTCACTGAGAAAACTAGATGTCAGGAGGAAGTGTTCTAGCCTAACCATCTCCATAAAATGCAGTTTTCTGTGTGTGGGCCCTTTTCCCTTACGTGAAGAAGCTATGCATTGATTTTCAGACAAGCTGGTACTTAATACAGATGAGACTAAAGTACTCTGGGCAGAGAAACCAACTCATCCGGATAGGTATACATCTGGTCTTAGGGTTGCCCTCCCTCTGAAGGACCAAATACAGAGATGAGAATGCTCATGGACTCTGCACTAAATGCTCAAGCTCAGGTGGTAGCATTGTCTAGAGTGCCCTTTACCAGCTTAGGCTGGTATGCCAACTGAAGCCCAAACTGGAGAGTGGTGGTCTTGCCTTGGTAATTCACACTCTGGTGACATCCAGCCTGGACTACTGTAATGTGCTCTTCATGGGTCTGCCCTTAAGCACAGTTCAGAAACTTCCGTTGGTGCATAGTGCAACCACCCATATACTGGAAGAGGCTATTCCAATCCCAGCTACATTGGTTGCCCAATTTAAAGTGTGCATGTTAACCTATCCCGAAAGGCTGCCTTCCCCTGTACCAGCCTGCATGCACACTAAAGTTATCAGTAGAGGCCATTCTCACTTGCCTGCAAACAAGGGCACTTAGGCTGGTGAGTAACAAAGGAGAGGGCCTTTCAGTGGTAGTCCCACATCTCTGGGATTCACCAGGGTTCTCTGCAGATCTTCAAAAGACTCTGAAGATTCACTTGTTTTTGCTGCCCTTCTTATACTTGGTGTGCTGCAGGTTTTGTTGGTGCTAGGGTTGGTATTTTGATGGATTTTTATTTATTGCCTCTCAATTTTAATTGCCATTGCTGCATTTTTAAATTTCTAAATAAGATTTCAGGAGATTAAAAAATAATGAAAGTTAAGGACAGTTCTGAAAAAATATGTAGCATGGAGCCCGTGTGCTCTTTGATCCACAGAATTAGGTCATCGTGTGGGTTCTGAAAATCCTGCTAGATGTATTTCTGAGATGTCATTGTTTACTGCTTTCAGGAATGTACAAACCAATGCTGTAATGCAACTACCTGCACTTTAGGACCAGGAGCAGTATGTGCCCATGGACTTTGCTGTGAGGACTGCCAGGTGAATTAATGTTTTCTCATTTGTGCAGGGTGGGCAGGACTCCAGCATAAGCTTAAAGGTAGGTCAGACCTCCAGAGCCTCTAACTTGGGGGCTCAGAACCTGTCAGCCCAATGGCTAAAATCCATTTTTGACTACCTCTCAGGATCCATACTGCAGTGGGGAAGGCCAAACGCAAAGAGTTGGAATACCCAAAACACCAGCATATTTACTGTCAATAGCTAAGACTTTGCAGGGGCATTTCAGTCTTTTCAAATGAAGAAACACTGCTGAACAGATGGGAAATCATCAAACAATGGAAGATTGTGGGAGTGGCAGTGGGGATGAGGCCCTCTGGGGAACCCTAGATACCTGGATTGGGACCCCTCAGCGGGTCACCTCTGGACCCAGGGGCTGAAGTTCTGCACCCTTGCTACAAGTGTACGCAAGAGAAATTCTCCATTATGCTTTTAAGAAAGCACAGGACAGCACATCATGCCACGCAAATCTTCTCCCACTAAACAACGTGTATTTTCATTTTATGCATATATCAATATGAGTCTAAAAGGAGTTTATGCCCACTTAAATATATCTGCCACTGCAAAGTTATATGAGGGTTCAGTAGTGTAGTTCTGTGTGCAGTGTGTCAGAGCCTTGCATTGCATCTTAGTGAGGAATGAAGGAGGCCTCTTGGAAGAATGTCATAAAAATGGCACAATACATCAAAGAGATGCATAAGTGCTTTGCCCCCTTTACACTGTGCTTAATGACTGCCCCCTTTATACTGTGGCTAATGACTGCTTGGCACAGTGTCTTAGACAGAGGTGGGAAAGCTTCAGTCTGTAGCATAAATTTCACTGTGTAGCACATTTTATTGATTGGAATTACAATCACTTCTTTCTTCTTCCAGCTGAAGCCAGCAGGGATCTTATGCAGGCACTCCAGTAATTCTTGTGACCTTCCTGAATTCTGCACTGGAGGCAGCCCTCACTGCCCAGCCAATGTGTATTTACATGACGGGCACTCGTGCTACAGCGTAGATGGATACTGCTATAATGGCATGTGCCAGACCCATGAGCAGCAATGCATCACACTCTGGGGGCAAGGTGAGCTTGAATTGCTAATAGCTTTTTCTTTTTCAAGACATTTTCCCACAAGAAACAAGCAAAGTGTGTCTAATATTTGGTAGCAACAGAGACTTTGGGATAGCATGTGACCTGGGACATTCCGTATTTCCTGACTCTCATCACATTTTCCTACTGCAGAACAAATCTTTCTTGTTGCATTTCATCCTCACATTCTTTTTTCAGATGGGTGGTCAGGTGATCCTATCATGCACTAATACCATTTTGGGGGAGTGTTGAGAAGGATGCATCTGATAGTTCACACACATAATTCAAGGATGGACTGCAAGAATGGAGAGGAGAGAGAGGGAGAATGCTATTCTTTATCTATTAACTGTTTGCTTGTTTGTTTGGCCTAAAGCTGTGTTGATGCTAATTGTTTTAGCCCAGTTCAGCTACTTGCTAGCCTCAAGGTCAGGGATCAAGGACAGGCATCACTGGGCACTTATGTACACACCGCAGCAGGGGGCCAGTGCCAAGAGCTCCCTGAAGCTGATACCCCCTTTGCTACTGCAGTCTGCTTGTTCACCTGCTTCTCTCTCTGGCCCAGATCATGGTGGTGAGGAAAAGGAGGAGCAGCAGAGGCTGCTGCCTACTTGCCCATGGGTGCTCTGGCTAGCAAGCCAGCAACAGGTAGCAATGAGAAAGAGGGTGACAAGCAGTAGAAGCTGGCAGAAATGGCACTGAGAAGAAAGGGGCTCATGGAGCATGTTTCCCCAAAGGCCCTGGAATGGACACTGTGCATCATTGCTCGGTGCATGTCCATCAAGGTGCCAGCTCCATCAAGATGAGTAGGGGATGTGATGCTGGATTGAGGCATGTTTCATAGCCATACTCCTCAATTCATAATCCTGCATCTGCTTAAATGCTGCATGGATGTTTTCAGGCTCCTTCAAAACAAAGGATTTCCACCATATCCATCTTTGAGACTATGTCCATTGGGGACATTTGAATACTTTCAGGATTTCATGTTCTTTCAGATTGACATCACTTGCCTCAGCTTACTTGACTGTAAAATGCAAATACTTCCCTACCTTTCAGAATGAATTACTGTACCTTTTTTTTTCTTTTGGAGCACAGAGATTTCTGGGCTGAAAGCCACTATTTGAAGTGCACAATATTAACTATGCAAACATAACTCATAGCTACTGCTGAATTAGGAAGAAATTGTGCCATGGATTGTATTCCAATAAGCACTTTGAATTGACTTGGACAGTTCTTTGGTTTCAGCTGACATGGTTTCCTGATCAAGGATGCAGGACATTGCACAGGAAAACTGCATACCCACTTACTCAAAATTTCACACAATCCTGTATTTCTGTGGTGTCACCCCATTCTCCATAGTCTCAACACCTCACTACTATACTTAGTAACTTGCTCAACTCTCAGTCCATGTGCCCACCACCTGCATTTGACTGTTCTTACTCTCCTCCCATTTGTGGTCCATTCTCTTCAAAAGGCAGTGCACTGGAGACTGTACTTTCCTGATGGATCCTTTAGGCTGCAACCCCATACTGGTTTCCCTAGGAGTAAACTGCATTCATTACAGCAAGACTTACTTCTGATTAGACATACATTAGACTGTGCTATTAGGCTGCAAAAGAATGGTTGATAGCCAAAGCTGAAAAATGAAATTGGCTGATGAAATAAGGTAATAAATAAAAACTACTTCTGACCACAGTTGCCACCTGGACCAAGTAACCTTTATACTTTATTCATGTTCATAGATGTTTATTTTAGTATTGATTTTTACTGCGTTCTGATAACTGTACACTACTTTGGGCCTTATGAAGGAAAAGCAGATTATACATTTTATCAATGAAATGTTTAAAATCTGCCACAGCTACTAAAACACTGGTAATAAGCTGAGATTTCCACTCTTGGATTTGTCAAAAATAGTGATAACGTCTCCCCAGGAACATATGGAGGATCTTTCCCTACAGCTTCATGTAGTTGTTAAATGAAGATGGAGCAAGAAACCCCTGCAGGAAAGACTCCATCAGGCAGCTGAACAGCCAGCCACTGGTTAGTTGGTTACTTTCCACTGGTTTTTTTCCAGGTAATTCATAATATAGTATTATAACTGTGACAGGTAAATAAAAATCAAGGAGACATTAATTAAAATTTTCAACCGTGAAGTTCCCACAACAGGCTATAATTGCTGTAACAATTTAGAATGGCTCCCACCACTGAGAGCACACACTGGGTTAACAGTATATTGCTTTCCCTTTTATATTCCCCTTCACTCCCATTCAGGGCATTGTTGGGCATCTGGCCCTGTACATGTCAAGCAAGCAAGTGGTGCCAATGATGGGAATGATTATGAGGAGCAATAGCAACTAGTGACAATAGTGTTGAGAAGACAGACTCACTGAGGGAGGGGGCCACTGAGGTTGCCTTGCCCAAGGACCCACAGAAACCTGGAGTTGGCACTATGCCCACTGCTCAGCCACTAAATAAACAGTTCTAGTCCCAAAACTTCAACAAAGCAAGACTGAAAAGGATAGAGAAAATGTATGTTATTTGCCAATGTCTTTCAGTATTACTAGCAGCTGCAAGTGGGCTCTACTCAGATCCAGGCTGTGGCACTTGAGAATGAGAGAGGTTAAGTATTCTCCACTGATTCTGATTACCTGAATCATACGCACACTAAAGTTGGTATTTGTCCTGCTGGACAAACATACAGTTATCCCATGTGTATCTGTATCTTTCAGCCCACTGGTCAGATAGAACCTTCAAGAAGCAGGTTGTTTTTAATCTGGAATTTAAAGCAGGCACATAACTACACACCCTCCTTAAATATAGCCATAATCTTGACTAAAATTTCTGACCTGACCCTGTATCTGTGATGGAAAAAAAAATGCTTCTTGAATGCCACATTTAAAATCTAAAAGATCTTGTACATGGTTTAGTTTAGCCCTCAGCTATCAGGCTGAAGATTAGGAGGGAGGATTCTATGTGCTTTTGTTAGCAGGTTCCAATATTTATGGGGAAGTAGTAAAGTTCTTCACTGTGCACTGCTGACTTAGCCACTGATGGATTGCAGGTTCAGTTCGTGGCCCCAGAGTTTGGAGGTACATTGCCTGCCACACACCAAACAAGCAGGAGCAGCAGCTTAGTGGAATACATAAATTTCTCCAGCTTATCCAAAGGAATCTCAGTGGATTGTGGATTGACCTAAATCAAGGCTTCATGGGAGAAAAAAATAAAAATACCTCAAATTCCAGCAGGATATCAGAGAATGCTGATGCATAATACTGAAATATTGCTCAGCTAATTCCTCTTCAAGACATGGCTAGGCTAGGTTCTGGATTATACAGCTAAATTGTAACCTTTTTATTATGTATTTTTGCTATTATTTACAATATGTCCCTCCTTTTAATTTTAAAATGAAACTTTTTAATACTTATCTTTTATAAAGTTGCCTTGCCATAGATGTGACCTATTGATGGTGATATGATTGCAAGTTACATAGAGTAATGCATTTGAATATTATCTGCTGCTTTTATTGGCACTTTCAGGAGGCACTTAGATATGCAGATAAATCTATTGGCAAGAGAAACATTATTGATTTTCTTGGCAGGAAGCATTACCCTTTATCAAGCTGCAACTTATCAGGCTGCCAAACAAATATATCCTTACAAGAGCATGTTTGAACTGGTGCAGCTGCACCTTCTTTTAATACGAACAGTGTGGCATTAACAGTGGTATAAATGGTAACCACTTGAAAGATAAAGCTACCTTTATGAAACAAGTGCTCTGTTTAATCCAGAAATCACCTCCCTGGATGAAAGCCAAGAGCAGTTGATGTTGAATCCCCTGAACATGCACAGAAGTATTTGGAAATCTGCACTTGGATCTTTAGATACTGACTTACTCTTCTTACAAAAAATGAAGTAATTCTACAGCAGGGCTTGAGAGTCATTATTGGTCAAAACAAATTAATGGTACTCCTGAAAACACTTTGCAGTGCAATCCCACACATTCTGCTCAAAAATTAGTTCCGCTGTTCCTAGGTAAGTGGGACTGCAGTCTTAAACCGGGAAGCATCAAAATTCTGAACTTAACTGGACACAGGTAAACAGAAAGTGTGAACTCATCGTGAGAAGTCATGAAGTGATACTGTCTTGGCCACCCTCAAATACAAGTCACCACTTTGTAATTCTGAGCAATCGACTTTTATTATATAAAAAGACACCAGGGAACCAGTCTTGCTTCAGACTACTTAATAGCTCCTGCTGTTTGTTCTGTTACAAATGATAACTACAAAAGGGTCACACTCTTTTAGCAGCTGAGAAAGCCAGTTTCTTAACCTAAGGAGGCAGTTAGTGAGAAAATTGATACCAAAGTACTGTTAGAGCCCTCCCATTTGGGCTAGGCATGCTAACAAGGCCCAGACTTCAAGGTGGACCCTTTACTTGAAGAGATGCTTGGGCAGCAAATTATTTTCACCAGCATAATACCCCAGCCTGTTCTTCCAACCCCAGCATCTCTAATATTTAATCCTTCATCCTTCACCTCTTTGTTATGGGTTGGTAGTTCCACAATTTCAGAATGGCTGCTTGGACCCTCAGTGGTATTCCCTCCTCACTCCAGCTGTTGTGGCTTGAGGTTTCAGCCACCATTCCTTCTTCTCCTCAGTCAGAATCAAATTCCACATTTTGAGATGGCTCTGCAGAGGTGTCAGGCTTGGACCCTCACAGGCAGATTAGACGACTGTTCTGTTACAAATGCACATTGAATATCTAAAATGGTAATTTAGATATTCCTCAGGTTACATAACACATACTAGTTGTGTTGATCTGTGGTGGATTTAAAAACAGCAGCAGCGTAGATTTTGCCCATATAGACATTGTTGTCTTTACATGCCAAAGTTCTGGCCTTTGGTAAAGATATCTGTAGCAAAGGCATTCTGAAATCTATTGAACATATCCATGCTTTAAAGGTTTAATTTGTGCCATCACAGTTTCACTGGTGGTGGC